AAAGATTAATCTATTATTTACAAGTATTAAACACAACGGTGGCGAATGAAGTGTCCAAAAACTAAAAATTGAGCCTAAAAATATGAAATGGCTTTTAAACCAAATATTTTGTATATCAAAAACTTACTGAGCCCATAGGATGTCTTATAACAGTAATAGAAAATTTTTAATTAAAAATATCAAATACTACCAACAAACTCCGATGTCATTGAAGTGTGTAAGGACTTGAAGGAACAGGTGCTCCTTGTGAAGTTCGTCCCAGAAGGTCATCCTGTCATAGAAAGGGTTAACACCTTTCGTGAAGTTTGGACTTATGCTGAGATAATTCAACTCATCTTTGCTGGTCACCGGGTCCCAAGTTATGTTTAGTAGTGGATCATCTTCATCGGGCGTTGGGTTTCTGTAATAATATAGTATATTAATATATTTTCTTATTGAATTATTTCGATTAATTTTTACGGATCTAGTTTTTTTTAACTCAGAGTAAGACTACAACGGACGAAAAAATCCCTTATGTCAAACACATACAATTATTGCAATTTTTTTTCGATAGCCTAAGCGGATTGACTTTGAACAATGATATTAAACAATAAGAATAAAACCAGTTCTAAGTCCAAAATAAATTCTTACCCAAATTTGGCGAAATTTGTCCACATTTGACTTATTTTGCATCTCATCAACATTGAGTCGCGATTACCTTTGCAAACGCTGCCTTCTTTTGTTTTCACATTAAAAATAAAAGGAATATCGGCTGAATGCCCTCCCTGGTTGAAAAAGTTCAGATATTTTGGAACTGTCCATTCCCCGGTGAAGTTTATAATATAAAAATATATAGGAATCTCAGGTGCGATTTCTTTGTGTTTCTTTATTGCATTAATCATGTTATACAAAAAATAGTAATCACTCATGATTTGTATATATTCGTATCTATTGTCCACAACTGTGCTGTTTTGACTATTATAATAAAAATTCAAAATTTTCTGGCCCATTTTTTTTAAGAATACATTTTCTCCCATCGATTTCAGTAGTGACGGCCCGCTTTTTATGTCTGCGTGAATATACAGGTTATTTTTGAGGTAGTCAAAGACACATGCTTCAGAGTTGTAAGCACCTATTACAAACGGCACTTTATTAACCATGCCAGATTTCAAAATTAATGCTGGACTCTTTGAAAGGAATACCGTTATACCTTCCAATTCATCTTCAATACATGGTTTAAACAGGCCATAGCACATAAATTCTTCAAATTCTACATGACTTAGTAGTTTAAAACAAGCTTTCATAATGTCTTCTTGGGGTAAAGTTTTCAAAATACTTACAATTTCTGAGCTATCTGAACTTGATATATTTAATTTCTTTCCTAATCTTAATACGGCTTGTTTTGGATTCTTGTCTAGAGCCCAATTGTTCGTAGCACAGGCACTTTGGATAATAGCTTTGTGGAAGAGACCGGTTGCCATGGGAGACAGCATCATGTAATGCACTATGGATCCACCGGAACTGGCGCCAAATAATGTAACATTGTTCGGATCTCCACCGAAACATTCTATATTTCTTTGAACCCATTGCAAAGCGATAATTATGTCTTTTAGACCATTATTACCTGGTGCTACAAAGTCATTGGTGGAGAGAAATCCGAAAGGCCCCATTCGAAATCCATTTCTTACAAATATAACACCTTTATCAACCAATAACCGTGGATCCAGTAACGGGTCAATATTAAAAACGAAGTTAAATGATCCTATCCAGAACATAACAGGTAGTAATTGACCTGTAGTATTTTTTGGTGTGTATACTTCTATATAAAGGCAGTCTTCTGAACCAATTACTTCTTCGAAAAAGAAAGATGCCGGAGGAGATGGCTCTACAGTGCAATCTAATTCTTCTATCCAAGGTTTGACAGGCACGGGAGGCTGAAATACATATTAAAAGCAATCAAAACAATTTTGTTTGTGAAGTCAGAAGCAATTTAAAACATATATTAGCCACTTATATACATGCCAATACTATATTAGCATTAAAAAATATTGAACAAATAATTTTAAACTTGAATCAATGCCATTGTGTATGTACCCTAATTATTTTGGTTTTGACAGCTGTTTTCAAAGCCCAGGAGTTAAGGAGTATGTCAATATTGTCAAATTATTAGCATTGTATTCTATCAACATAAAATTGCCTCATTATTTTTTTGTTGGTACAATAGTCCAATAAAGAATCAACATGAGAAAAAATGCAAATATCAAATTCAACCTTGATGTCACACACAACACTGTTGTAATATGTGGTTACAACCACAACCAGTTTTTTTTTATAAAAGTTGTAAAAACTGTAAATATATGTTGCTATTGATATGGTGTATTTCCGTTATTTAATTAAGCAGTACTTTTTTACATATCTTACTAATGTTATAAATGCAAAAGTTTAGACGGATGGATAGATGTTTGTTTGAAGGTATCTCCGGAAATGATTTTCATGAAATTTGGTACACATGTAGAACATAATTATGAAGTTTTTTTTTAATACGGCGCAGACGGTGTGGCGGGCAACAGCTAGTTTGTGATATTTGCTAGAAAACTGAGAAAATTTTGATTAAAAAAGGACTAAAGAATTTTTGACCACCCATATATTCCTGATTGCAAAGTGTATAATGCAATATGTTCTGATAAAACTTGTTTTAGTAAATATTGAAGCAAAAGGTGTGTCATAAAACATAGGTTATCAGTAAACTTTTGTAAGATGATTAGTTTCTTAATAATCATAAAAACTAACAAACTTGACCTTTGCTCTGGGTTATAACAAAAACTGTTGGTATATGATAATTAATACAAACTTCATCTTGGCAACTAAAACTTCTTTTTTTAATTATCTTTAAATATTAATGTTTTTAAATTATTATTTGTCAATGTTACTTTAAAAATGATGGAAGGATATATATTTCTTATCTATGGTATATACAAGGTATCACCAGAATGGCTCAACGGATCCCAACATAATTTAGCATAGATGTAAAACATTTTCCGGAAGAACAGTTAGGATACTATTTTTTTTTAATTCAATTCTAATATTAAATAAATACTACTTGCAAAAAATATAAAACATTAGGGTCCTTCCACTACTATCAGTTTTCACTGCCAAAACTTAAATCAATCTTTTTCAGACAAAATAAAACAGAGATATACAGCATTTTTCTACTGTGATACTGAAGGCTAAGTGAAGAGAATCAAATATACTTATCAGTAAAATTTATGTCATAAGTTAATATATCACAATCTATTCACATGTTTCAGATACACAATGACTAGACACTACAACTTGACATTGGCTACAATAATCAATGACATACATCAATTTTAATATACACAAACAATGCATTTGTCTTCTACATGTAGCCCTCTTCAATTAGTTTCGTTACTAGATATTCTGATAAGATATCAGTTAAAGGGTTTAAATTATAACACACAATCATAATTCATATTTAAAACCTATAACAATATAAAGAAGACATTAAAATATTCTAATTACCAATATTTACTTAACTATGCATGCAATTGAATATAAATGAATAGTTGATACAATAAAAATATATGAAAATAAGGAAAAATCAATCAATTTATTAACTTACCAATTAAGGTAAAAATTAATGTAATTTTTATTATACTTCAGAACATTTATTATGGTGTTGGCGATCTTATTGTCCTTACCATTGAGAGCTAACAAGGTTGGACCTTGTTCCAAAAATTTGTTTCATAGTGTTACAGAAAAATACTTACCATAAATCGTAGAGGCCCAACTGGTGGCAGTGCATAAGGTATTTTCTTAAAATGATAGTATGTTTTGTTATCATTATTTTCAATTAATCCACATATTGGTCCATCTTTTGTCAGTACTCTTTGTATAGTTTCTCCCTGTGTTTCCGACATGTCTACAAACTGTGATAAATCAAATGTCAAAAATAATAATTATTACTTACTTAGAATTTTGAGTACCACACAAGATAATGCAATTGTTTACAGTACATTAATTCAGATAATATGTTATATTCTACACATAGATAGTATATTATAGATAACAAGTATTTGTAGAGGTAACCTCTAAAATCATCAATCTTTAAGATACAAATTCAATTTCATAACTTATAACGGATCTTTTGTATGAATTGATTTTGAAGTATGTAGTAATTTAAGGAAGTAAAATAGTTTTTTCTAAAAAGTCTCAAGACACTGAAATCATGTATTGTATACAATTTATTAAAAGAACTAAAAATGACAAAATTTATTTCATTTTAATTATCTGCTTATCTCTCTTGTTTAAATTTCTCAAAAATTGTATTACCAAAATCAAAATCTCCTACCTTAGTTTTGTTTAATCGTTAGAAAATCATTTTTAATTCAACCTTACTAAATACTTATAAAGTTTATTTTGTGACGCTTAATTAATATTTCTATTTTGCGTACATTATCACTAAAACATTTTTTGAATAATAATCGTAATTAATCGCTCTCGTATCTCGTCAGTACGATTCAATTCGCTCGGTCATATGTCAGTGTCGCCTCAATGTCATTACATTTAAAATGTCAAAGATGGTCAAAGAATATCTAGTAAGAAAAATATACAGATTGTAAAACTAAAAACCAGAGTATAAAGAATACTTTATACGTTTTGTCATCTTTTTTTGCCTATTTTTTAGAAGGTAGGGGCAAATAATTAGGTTAATGTTAAGCCATCCGACCCTGGAAAACCAACTGTAAAGTATAGCATACACATAAAATTGCACATAGTAAATCTCATATTTACATATTAAATTTCTAAAAAAAGACCTTGAAATCGAGGGTAAGACGAATATGAATTTAATACTAGCAGCTGTTGTTCACGTATTTAGCGCGGAATAAAAAAAACGTTCCAGTAACAGTCTTGTCAAAATTGATCCAGTCCATCTGTTTCGGAAATTATTCGAAAAAAACGCAGAATTTCTCGAAATATTATTTTTTATATTACAAACACACGCCAATTTTATTAACTGTATTATTACATATTATTTTACATATGTTCAATTTATGTATTTACGATTATTTTATTTTTCATAATAACGATAATTCATACAATATTTTCGCCTTTATTTCCTTACTTTGGTTTGGTCTACTTCATGATCGTAAAAGTCTCTGAGTATTTGTTGATCTAGTACAGCTTCGTCGCAATATTTCATCTTCAGATAATACGACAGACGTATTTCACGAGTATCCTTTGCCAACATTTCTTTGAAAGCTGGAGTACTGATCAGATTTGCGAAGAATTTTCGATTACTTGTGAAATCGGGGCTCGAACCCACAGTTGTTTTCATTGGGTAGTTCACATAGCCAAATAAATTGTCCATTATAAAGCTGTAAAAGAAATAAAAGAATATAGTTTTTTCTTCTTTATGACGATTTAATAAAATACTTATAGATAGGAGGCGATAAGCTTCAATTGCTTTTAGTTTGTAATAGTTATGATTTCTGTCTGTCATGATCATGATATAAATATTACTCACTGTTCGTTCGGCATAAAAGTCTCTACGCATTGTTGGAACATTGCATAAAAATCATTAGCGGTGCCAAAGGCTATCGTAAAAGCTGTCAGAACTCTGTAATATGCAAATATTTTATAATTAATTTTACATTAAATTAAATTAAAAATTAGTCTAAATAAAAGAAGCAAACCTTTCGTCTATAGGTTTTATAATCGTTTCTGATGTCAATTTAAATAGTTCGAAGCTGGTAAAAATTATAAAATAATTTATTCGTGCCATATTACTGTTTGTTGTACTGTACTGTATCTCACTCCGTTAGTGTTGTAACCATATATTAAAATTAAAAATATATCTTATTTTTCTATCGACAAATTTTATACTTCTTGGTATTTTGTAACTGTAGCATAATAACAGTTATTGTTATTAAAAATGCAAGAAACATATGACTCGGTGAAAATAACGTAAAAAACATGATTGTTATTGCAACTCATTTCTGATATTGATTTTTAAGCATATCATCAAAATTATTCCAATGATGTGTGGCAAATGTAATTATTTATATTTATCGTCGGAAGTGGCCTAGATAATTTTTTTATTGTAATGAAACAAGTCGCTATTAGAAAATATACGTCTAGTTCTTATTACCATATTAAAACTATTTTGATATTGTCTTTACAAATATTGATTTTGAGAATATGTTGTTCGAACAGTCTTCACAGACACTATTTTACAGATCTAAAAAAATTGCGTCTAAGAAGTAATATGCTCTAATGCATAATGCATGTTATTTAATTCGGTTAGGGTACTACACTATTCTCGATATTTGAATTTAGTTTTATAAGTGAATGAAATTTACTTTTCATATTTCACGAGCTACAATAAATTGGATTCCATATCGCTCACACTCGATTCGAGGCGTAGATGCGGTAAATATAATCGATGTGCGAGCAAAGAATTTTATGTACAATATAATTTATAGTTGATCTTAGATTTACAATGGTAGGTTTATTTTAAATAAGATTTAAATAAACAAAAATAATAACTGGTAGTTATTATATACTGATGAATATAAATTTATTTACATTTACTCTTAAGAAAAGTCGTTCAGGAAGTCGCAATGTAATCTCACTAATATTATAAATGCGAATGTTTGGATGGATGGATATTTGTTTTAAGGGATCTCGAGAACATCTGTATGGATCTCGCTGAAATTTGGCAAGATGTAGAACATAGTCTGGAAGAACACATAAGCAACTAATTAAGTTTCTCTAATTCCGCGCGGACAGAGCGGCGGAAGACAGCTAGCTTACACATAAAAAAAGGAAAAAACATAACCCTCTTGCCAAGCGGGAAAAAAATTGCAAACATACTCTTTACAAAATATTTGGTAAATTTTGACGGTAAATAATTTATTTGCTTACATTTGAACAACGAAGTGAGCACAAAATGTAATAAACAATGAGGACTGAATAATTAACAGGCATGTATTGTGAGAGCCCGCCACCAAACTTTACGGAGTCGTAATTAAATTTGCGTATTTTACTGTCAACAAATATTAAAAATTACGTTATCTTGAAATTGTACATTATTTGTTTATATTGATCACTAAACCTATACTTTGTACAAAGAAATTAATCAATGACATTATGCACACAGTAAGAATATACATCCTGAAAAAACTATTGCATTCAAAGATGAACAAAAAGAACATACAGACGAATTGATAACCTCCTTCTTTTTGAAGTCGGCTAAAAAGCAAAACAGTACAATAAATATTTAGCGCTTTCAATTCATACAGGAATAAATTTAAATATTGTTGAAGTTGAAATAAATATTAGATCGCGCACCCGAATGAATAGAAAACAAACATCGTCTTCACATAATGTAAGTGAAATCGGGGGCGAGCGGGTCGCGGATAAGGAAGTTATTATTTTTCCCTTACCACGGGCGGTGAGGGAGTTTGCATTTTGAAATGACGTTTGAAATAAATTTCCGCCGTCTCCGGCAATGGGGCGTTCGATTGGAACATTGGCCCGATCATAATTAATTCTGTTAAACCGCATCCGGGGCGCACCTTTCGAGGCTGTGCGGCGGGAGGCGCGGCGGCGACGCGCTTTCGATGATTGGAACTCGGGATTTAGGCTATTGAATTGTATGAAGTGTATCTTTATAAATCTTTCAAAAGTTTCAAAATATAACCAGTGAATATAGAAAATAATATGTTGAATTAATAATGAAATACCAAAGAAATAAACAGCATATTATAAACCAGCAATCATTGTTTCATTAGAGTAATTACGAAACTCGAACGTTAATACCTTATATCTAATTTAGTTAACAGAAAATATTTCCATCACATTAAAAAGCAGATAATTTTCAGTTTCCGTTATCAAAAAGTTGTTATAACTTTCATTTTGCTTGAAAAAAAAAAGAAATAATAACATGTTTTAATTAAAAGTACTATCGCTAGGGGAATATCACGGTAATGAGGCTGGCTATTGAAGAATTGGCATGGGTTGAAGTGAAGGGTAGGGGGATACGTAGGCATTCGGACAAACGTTATTAATTAGCCGAACCTCGATGTGTCCGGACATCGCGCGACGTGTCAATCGCACTTGGTACCGCAGTAGTGACGCTCCGTTGGGCAGGCAATTAGTTAAAGCTGCTTACTGGACATCCCTTATCTCATACCGTTCACACAATTAGGATTCACGGATTGATTACTATTAGTGACTTCAAAATATGATACTCCGAGTGCTTAATTTGTGGTGTAGATCTATAATTCCCGGGTATCGTATGACTCCACTGTTTTTAGTATTTTATTTAGTATCTAGTTGGAAAGTGAGATTAATAGTGGAGGAAGTTTTTTTATTAACTTACTTCAGGATATTACATGTCGTAGAGATGTTTATTGTAGGTATAAAATATTATATATGTAATATTATATTTATTAAACAAAACTAAATGTTACACCACTACTAAATGATTGTTTTCAGGTTGGTAGGTACGCACATAGTACCAGGAGTTTGAAGTCTCCAACCGCAACTCTGACGTTGTGGGGCGACGTTGGCTTTAAGCACCTATGGTGTAACAGTAAATCGATATGTAAATTAGCATGGTGTATGCTATAACCTGCACGAATGAGTACTAAATGTCACTATACAGACCATGTTCATGGCTTATTGTTGTTTATCGCCACTAAATATGTTTTATAATTAAAAAAGCAAGTAACCAGTAATAACTGACTAAATATGTTATGAGCTGCGTGAAGTTTTGCATTAAATACTTTTTTTTGCTTGTTCTATCTAAAAATTTAATATCTATGGCTATATTAGCCGTCTGGTAACAAATTCGTCAAGTTTCCCGAAATCTCGGTGACGAATATTCTCCCCGCATCCGCACCTTTATTGAATCACGACTTCAATGTTTATGACATTCTCTTATGTTTATTTGCAGAAGATTTCTCGTATATTATTCCTTTGTTTATTCCGTATAACAGAATAAATTGTTGAAGATGAAGTTATTGAAACAATTATTCATTATGATTGGATCCGTATTGTTTTCTATTAAGATATTCTTTGATATTTTCACAAAGTTACAAAGTAGATTCAATATTTTCTTTTTTGTTATGATTATCTGTTTATTAAAATAGTGTATCTGTGGTTATAAGAAAAGTAAATTAAAGAATTTAAAATTTAACAGTGGTAGAGCCCGCTTTAACATCTTCGCACGAATCGGCCCGGGTCGCCCGGTGAAATACCACGAACACACAGAAGACAGGCGTCAAGTGGAAGCAATTCCGCGCTTCGGCTGATGAGTGTGCGTCCCGAAGGCTTAATTTAGTCCTCTTTCACTTCCCACCCGTTTTCTTATAACGAAAGGATGGGAAGTGGAAGTGGACTTTCCGGATAAGAGGATGCATGGGAAGGGAAAATATTATCTTTCTGTGCATTCTCTCCTCCGTCGATTAAAGGTAGGCAACGCATATGCAATTACGTATGTCTATGGGCAGAGGTCACTTCGATATTTCAGCGATTTCAGGTGGCCGCTCGCTCGTTTGCCACCTTGTGATATGAAAAAAAAATTAAAATCTGTTGAAGGTCTTTACAACGCTTGCGCTTTTTACAAATTGGCCCGTTGTGAACTTATCGTTGTTACTAATTAAATTACAACAATTTATATGTAACTAGCTGACAGCGACTACGTGCACGCGGATTTAAAAAAAACATAATTAGTAGCTTATGTGCTCTTCTGGATTATGTTCTATATGAATGCCTTCTGCTGTACTGGAGATACCTTCTAGCAAACATCCATCCATCTAAACATTCACATTTATAATATTACTAAGGTATTCATAATTTGAATATCAGAATATGTGTATTATTTTATGAGAGTCAAAGCAGACCTTTTCTCCCTTTAATACTGAGATCCAATTAAGTTTTGGAGTACTTGCGAGTTAATACCGTAAATACTTATATAAATATTATATTGTATAGATGGGGTCGTTAGCAATAAAGATACTATCTGTTATTGCTTTGTGCATGATAAGAAACTCATTTGTGGCGTAGTTTTCCTTCGTTTGTTATTATTGAGTATGTTATTATTTTTATTGTTAATGAAATATGTTTATTAAACCTTATTGCTAATTATTGGTAGCACGTAGAAATATAATAATATTTGTTTGTTTTTATTGCTTTACTTTTGTTGGCTAAGGAGTACCATAGAGAATCATGTTTAGGACGAGGTTCTTTCTTTCGTGTTTTACTGACGAAATGTTACAAAAAAAGTTAAACTATAATTTCATAAATTTGAAAGAGAAGTGTGATATTTATTTTTAAAAATCTTATAAAAACAAATATACATATCCTTTATCTCGATTCTATGTAATTTCAATTGTAATTGAAGATTATCTCGATTAGCTCGGAAACAAAGTAAGATTTTCATAAATGTAGAGCATGATAATTTAATTTAGTAAAATACGTCGACAGCTCAATGTTAAATTAATTTCATTCTTACAAATTCAGGGAATTACCTATCACACCGAGACGTAGGGTTGAAGTTGAATAGCAATTCTCGATTTGTTTATTCCGAATAGAAATTAAATGACCCGTAAGCGAGTATTCGAAAAGGTATGACTGGTATTTCAGACCCAGTTCACCTTATTTTACCTTGGGTCTGGTATGCCAAGGGTTCAACAAAATAACTATATTAAATATTTTCTTTGGTGAAGTAAAATAATAAAGGGCCTGAACTGCTTCTAGAAATGGATGCTACGGCAATGCTGCTCTTTTTTAGTCAGCTAGGCGGGAGTACTGACGTACCTACAGATATGAATATTTGTTAAATGCGTTTTATAATGAGAATCGCATTATATAGATTAATATAATTAAGTAATACTTAAACTCTATTTTGT